TATACATCTAAATACATAAATTACATTAATTAAAAAAAATATATGAATACATTCTACAATACATTGAATACATACTGATGAATATATACTACTGGACAAAATAGTGAAACAAAGTAAAGCTTTGAAATTATATAATTACATTGAATACAGTTAAATACAGTGAATATATTGAAAAAATAGAAAAAAATAAAGACAATGAATACAATGAAATACATGGAATACAACGAGAAACATTGAAATGCGATGAAAAACAGGTAACAGACTTTTCAAGTTCTTCAGCCCCATACTATGTCCCCAATCCACCGATATCTAGGCCGCCGTCGGTTAAATGAAGACAGCTGTTGAAGAAGCACCAATTTAAAGGATCAAACGGAAAGTAGAGACAGAACTTCTTCAGATCTCACAAGACAAACATGAACAATCAATGCAAAATCTAAGAAAATTTAGAATGTGTAACACAACTATGTGAAAGAAATCGCCGGCCGGAGGAGGGGGTTAGGGGTGACACAATAAGGAAGGGGGAAAGTGGTTGCCCCCCGAATCTGTCGTTGGTGGAACACAGCTCCTGCTAGAGGGAAGAGAAAGGAGGAGAGAGGGAAGAGAGAGGGAGAGAGATAAATAATATACAGCATATTTTAATGGCTTAAAGGTAGGAAGTGGTCATAAATAAATATTTTACTATAAAAATTAAAATATAGCTATAGGAGATAATTTTTTTTAAAAAAATATTTATTTATAATAAATAATGTATCAACTTTTACGTAAAATTTTCATTTATAAATATTCCTCTAGAATAAACGCTTGGGCCATCACAGTTTATGAAAACTTATTAATACTTAGTTACTTCGAAAATAAGAAAACTGTGTATGCCCATAGGAATCCGCCAAAAGAGAGGTAAATTGGCGTACGTGGAAGAAAGTTGTGGGGGTATTTTGTGCTAACTCAGCTAATAAATTGTGTAGTACGTGTCCTTTCCAAGTTTGACACCAACAAGTTTAGGTACCTCTCATCATCAACAAATTCATTAGTATCTTATTGGTAATTAAGCCTCATCTCATCATTACAAAACTAGACTTTTATTTCAATTGCCGGTGACATGTTCGTGTGAAATTTTAAAGGCTTAGATCTCATTTCTTCTATCCCCCTCTTAAAACTCCTTTTTCTTCCAAATGAAAGCTAAATACCGAGCTCCACCCAATGAGTGATGAAAAGTTTTTCCGACAGATTTTTTCTTACTCCAAATTCAATCTCAAATTACAATTCATTATATTTGAGATGGGTAACCCAGCTTAACTAAATTAAAATTAAAAGATATTTCAGTTATAACAAAAAAGAACACATCTAGTCTTCTTCTCTGTAACAGTATGAGACCTTTATGAGAATTTTTTATAGAAATAATATAGGTCTCTTCATGAATTGAAAATCTCAATTTTATGATATATAGATGTGGATACAAGGAGGAGAAGGAAACAATTATGTAATTCAACAAACTGCTACTTGAAAAAACCAAAAAGAACAAAAACGAAAGTTGCCATTGTAAAATAAAAAAGTAAGCGCAGCCAGGCTACAACGTTGTCTGATGACTAAGGCCCGTCTGGCCATGAGTTTTGCCAAAATAAATTTGGGATTTATTTCGTGTTTGGCTATAAATTTTGCACATATTTTGGCCAAATCCCAAATCTCAAATTTCAAATCCCAAAATCAGCTATTGAGCTGGCCAAAACTTCAAAACTTGGGAATTATATACATGTTTTTACAAAATAAAATAAATTTGGGATTTATTTCGTGTTTGGCTATAAATTTTGCACATATTTTGGCCAAATCCCAAATCTCAAATTTCAAATCCCAAAATCAGCTATTGAGCTGGCCAAAATTTCAAAACTTGGGAATTATATACATGTTTTTACAAAATAAAACTGGAAAATATGTTTTGAAAACGTATATCCAAACACATTTTGATCTTCAAATCAAATTTTTTTAAAATAAATTTGGGATCTATGACCAAACGCTAGCTAAAAAAGACGTAGATGGTGAGTTCTGTATTTTTCTTCCAAGTGAGAGAAAGGAGTTTTAGGAGAAGCAGACGATAAGGGATCTAAGCCTTTAGAATTTTAGAGGGACACGTGGCTCTAATCCAAACCTGTATTGATACATACTGGAGGTACAAGAGGAAAATGTTAATTAAATTATATGGCTTCGAATTTTATGTGGACTGCGATATTTTTTGAGTTAATTGGAAAAGATATAAAATTTAGTGCTTCACTCAACCTAATTTGTCTTATTTGCTATTGATTACTTTAAATACAATAATAAATTCGGTGAAATTTCATATACGGGATCCAAGGAGGGTATGTATATGTAATTCTTACCCTACTTAGAAAGTAGAGAGGTTGTTTCGATTTGATTGCCTCTTATGCTCAAGTCAATTGGAAGATTGCCTATTCAATTTCTGAATCATCCCTTTTTTCATGTTGTTTTAGCACAATAGGTTATTCCCATTTCCCTGGCAACTTGGGTAAAAATAACGAAAAATATCTTTGTTAGTAATGGAAACACCAAAAAAGAACGAAATTACATTTTTTTAGCTCATGTTAAGTACTTAATCTACAACCTAGACGTACTACCATATAGACTACGGGTGTATAAAGGAAATCGACAAGCCGCACCAATCCGATAATTCGAGTCAAATTGAGAAAAAAAAATCCGATTATGGTTTGGTTTGATTTTATTTGGTGTTGGAAAAAAAATTAAGTGGTTTGGTTTGGTTTTAACCAAAGAAAGTCAAACCGAAATCAAATCAACCCGACATTACATATATAAAATTTTTAGATATATTTAATATATAAATATACTTATTCTGATGTAATTTATTAAATATTTCTTAAACTTTTTCATAATTTTATCTTTTAAGATATTATTTCAAGTTTGGACTTAGAGCTTTTGAATGTTTCAATAAATTTAGAGCCATTAATACTAGTAACTTAAATAATGCTAACAAAAGCCCAAATCAAAATCAAATCAATACTAATGCTAATAAAAGAAGACATTCAATTCAATACTACGAACCACAATGTATTGAATATTTATTTTTTGCAATAATTTAAATAAAAATGCATAACCTAATTTTATTTTTTCTTCAACGTTTAGTCAAGTAATTAATACTCCCTTATTAGTTTACTTATTTTAGCATGACTTAGTACTTTTAGATTATATTTATTTTTATTATGACTTTTTAATTAGCAATATTTATATTACATAATTTTATTGTCTTTATTGTTGAATATTTTAGGATAATTCCATGACACATCTCATATTTTGTATTATTTTCTTGCAAAATACATTATATAATTGTATCTTACTAGGATTAACGAAATATTTGAACACAAGTTATATATTTTGTGCTGCAAAGATTTTACCGGAAAAAAAATCTGAAAAAATCCGAATAACCCGAAAAGCCGAAAAAAATCGAGATTGAATAACCCAAGTTTTATTGGTTTGGTTTGGTCTTTAAATTTAATAACCCGACACAATTAATTTGGTTTGATAATTGCAAAATCCGAACCAACCTAACCTATGTACACCCCTAACAGAGACATTAGACTACAGGTCGAGAGTCCACTGGTTGGAATTTGGAAACCTGTCAAATCTGGTTTGTGGATTTACGACTCTGAAACTGAAAGCAAACCCCTGACTCAAAGGATAAAATCCCGCAATTTTTAAAGTCAAAAGGCCAGGTTTCACTCTGTTAGATATAATTTCCCTATTTTGTAGTTTCGTGCTCAAGGCACCAAAACCAAAATCACTAGCCAATTGACGAGAGTTTTGATTGTGAAATGAATGATATTAATTATTAAGCAAAAACGTCGCTCCAGTGAAATTTGTGTGTTGATTCAAAAGGGCACAGAAGAAAGGTGCTCTTATTTAAATAGTGGAGTATCAGATTTCTCCGAGATAAGAGGTTTATAGCACGTTTGGCCAAACTTATAAAATCGTCTCATTTTGAAAAATACTAATCTCAAAGTGCTTTTTAAAAAATACTTTGGTAAAAAATAATTTGTACTTGACAGCTAATTAATTTAAAAAGTACTTTTGAGCAATAATCAGAGTTTAACCAAACTTTTAAAAAATATTTTTATTACTTTTGGGAAGAAGTTATGCTTCTCAAAAACTGCTTCTGCTTCTACTAAAAAATATATTTTTTTCCCTTCTAAAAGTTTGGCCCAACAACTTAACTTTAAAACAAAGCATTTTTAGCCAAAAAAAAGCTTGGCCAAACAAGCTATTAGTGTGTGAAAGGTGAACTTCTGAGACGGTATCCAAGAACACAACAGTACCTGCCGTTTAATTAACACGACTACAGCAATATACAGCTCAAAGCATGACGGAAATACCAAATCTGCCATATAAGGAACACGATATTACGCCAATTCTCACAATTTAGCAATTTGACAACGTTTACAGACCATATAAAAGGAGAGGATAAAAAGAATTGAAAAAATGAATCCCCATTGCTATTTTTACAATTTACAAAAAAAACCCTGACTGATATATAAGCGACACAATTCTCTCTATATATACACACATCAGTTTAAGAGGTCCAAAAAAAAAGCCTAAATAATTAACAAGACTGAAAGACTGAGCACTCTATCTTGCTATGCTATCTAGTTGAACTTATCTTTGATAGTAAATTGGGTGTTCGCGCTATAGGCCCCTGCAAAATAGTCTTTTCCTGCATACAAATACTCGCATGAGAACAGCAGCACGGGAATTTTAGACCACAATAAGCTGGTAATGCACCGATAAGAATTCCTGGGTACAAGTCAAGTACCAACATTTTTCTTTTGTATAACTTTTTTCCCAAACTGTAACCCCCCCCCC